AGGCTTTATATCAACACAAAAGTATGACTTATAACAAGGCCTGTTCTGAAAGAACAGTTTTAAATGAAATCTGAATTCCTAACGTAAATCAGTTTCAAGTACCTATCAGTGAAGCTGTATTTTTTTTTCATAAAATAGGTTTAGTGATCAGCACATTGCCCATGTGATAAAAATCACCAACAACATGCTTGTGCTTATACTAGCAATTAAAAACAAAACAAAAACAAAACCTCACACATACCCCAAACCCTTCACATTAGAATATTTGGATTTGTGTGCCACTTAGAATGGTTTTTTGAAGATAAGTATCTCGAGGACAGTATAGAATTAAGCACCAATTACAGATTAAGAGGGAAAAAAACAACACAAATGTAAAAGTGGGGGAAAAGAACTAAATAGAGATGATGCCACAACCCATCCGAGAAAAGGCAGTACCAGATGACTGAAGATACTGGGGTAGAGGGGTGAGGAGGAAGAACACCAAATTTGGAGAGAGCAAAGAGAAATTATCTGGTAGGCTGAAGTTAACCCACAGTTTGGAGCAGTTTGGGACTGGAATTCCAGGCTAAACAGCCATAAAGGATGTGGGTCCGTCCCCCCTATCTTAGTTTCTTTATTTCTTAAAAACTTTTCATTCATAAAAATGTTATTCATTCTCAGGTTAAAAAAAGTATATATTTCATCTAGACCTGTGATTTCTTTTGTGTGATGAGCTCTCAGAGAAGAAATTCTCTTATCTATGCAGCTGCACTGTTTAAGTCTCTGAGAGAGGCCTTAGAGAAGTTAAGTGACTAGACCCAGATCTGAGTCTCAGAGGCCAGCTCCTGATCCATCCACCATACAACACTGCCCCTGCCATACTTTTAAAGAAAAGGAAGACATACCAGTATGTCTCTGAAAATAAGGGTCTACTTTGCAAAAATCACTTAGCATGTTCAACTAATTAGGTGTTTTGTCAAATGAGTACATGTTTATGCAGCTGTTAGAAGTAGGAATTGTATCTTTCTTACAGATATCAGGTAAATACCTCACCTAATTTGTGCACAGGTGGGTAAAATTTCTAGGAATTTTGAAGTCATGAAACTGGTGTGCTTTGTTTTTTTTCCTCACCTTTCCTCCACCCAGAGGAAAAAAAAACAAACCAGATTTTTCCCCTTTCCTAGAAACTGGGAATTTTGATATTTATACAGCAAAGGTGCAAAAAGAAACTTATACCTTAAGGAATGTTCTGAACCACAACCATTATTATTAGAGGCTTTTCTGAACAGCTGCTGCCCTAGGTACAGGAATGCCCCAGGGAGGTCTGTCCTTAAGTCTAGAGTGCAAAATGTGGGGACTTGGGTACTGTGCACTTCCAAATCAAAGAAAAAAAAATACTGTGAGCATCAAGAAAGAAAGAATGAATCACAATTAGGTGCACACAAGGCTTTATAGTAGGCAGACATTATTCCAAAGGCAACAATGATTTACTGCAAAAATGAGTATAATCCTACAGGGTAGAAAATTGATTTTTTAATAAAATAGAAGACTTTTAAATATTGGTGATGAAAAGCCCAGAGCTTGGTATAAACTTTGAAATGCAAACAGAAAATTTAGAGAATTGACTGAGCAATGATGCAATTCTTATATCCTGAGAAAAGAGACCTAATGTTCCTTCAGAATTCCACTGTCTTCAAGAGTCATAGAGGGAATTGACAGACAAAGCCTTGTTGTAGTTTTGTTCTTTTGTTGGTTTTGAATGAGGAAAAAAAAGGGAAGGGGAAAGGAATATATCAGAAAAGAAATGAGTAAGGGGTAAAGCCTTATTATTTTGCAAAATTGGGATATGTAAGGAAAAGAGTCTACAAACATGGAAGAAGGGAGTGGACTGAACAACCCTCTCATGCACTCTTATCTGAACCTTGCAGAGGAAGGTTGAATGCACACAAACATGCATTTTGGTGTAGATATACATTAAACTCAATGGGGAGAGCATAAGGAGCAGAGGCTAGGAGGGAAGAGTCACAGGCAAAACAAAGTTATACAGAGGGTGGATCCTAAAGGGAGAGTTGAAAAGAGGAAAGTATAAGAAGCGAAGCTTACTGTCTGGCCTTCATGGTGAGGGATAGAGCAGAGGAGTTAGAACACACCAATATAATTATAGATTATTAATGTTGATCAAGTTCTTTCTTTCTCTGCTTTCTATTTTACAAAGGTATGGGAAAAGATGAAAAAGCATAAGAATATGATGAGGTAAACTAAGTCCATTCATTGCAGTACTTGCAATGAGGGCTTCTTGAATTTAAGGAATTAAAAAAGGAGACATGATTAGTTTTTCTTCCCTATTTCAATTCCTGATGACAAGTATTTTTCCAAATGAGTAATTACATACTAACCCAATATGCAAAGGAGAGTCACTAAAGGATCTTATTTACAGCCCATTCAAAACAAGAGTGGCATACTAGTGTCCTCTAAATGTGTGTATAAATTGGGGCAGTGGTGTGGCAGCTCCTGTGATTGTGGTAATATGTAGAAGCTCCAAAATGGCTTTCTCTTTTTTGTATAGGAAAAGTCCGATATCTGGCCTATGTGTAGAGATTCTTCCTCCTTTTCAGAGTTGCCAAGATGGGGAAAAATGTTGGCTGCTACCTTTGTTTCCAGGTCTATACTTTAGGATCTTTGAGTGCAGTAATTGATTGAGAGGAATGAAATTGGCACTTTTCCTGATTCAAAGTTGGCTTAAAAGGGATATATGCAAGGGCTATTCTGTGATGCCAGGTGCCATGAGGCTATCTAGGTTCACATAGATGCTTAGCTATAAAGTTGCTTTGGGCAAAGGGAGAGGCAGCCATCTTGGTTGGTTTTAGGGGTCAAAGCAAATTTTATCCACTTAAGCACAAATTAGGTATAAGATTCACATGATGTGAGGAAGAAAGCTACAACTCCTACTTTTAGTAGCTGTAGAAACATATATATGACAAAATTCCTAGGAATTTTGAAGTCATAGAAATGTGGATTTTTTTCTCCCCTCCTTTCCCCCACCTAGAGAAAAATAGCATTCCCTCCCTTCTTAGAAACAGAGAATTTTGACAGAACATTGCTTTGACAGAAGTGTGTGTGTGTGTGTGTGTGTGTGTGTGTGTGTGTGTATGTGTTAAGGATGATCTAATGGTTTCATTTTCATTTGGCCAGTGTGTACTCTACATGAGAAAGAATCAAAATTAATTAATGACATAAAAAGTTTTTTATATATTGTAGTGTGATTCCTTTGTGTTTTGTTCAGATTTCCAAAATTTAATTTCTAAAACCTTTTGCTTTCATATTTGGAAATATCCTTATACTTTTATGTTTTGTGAGCATTTCTTTTCACATTTTCTCTTCTTCTAAAAAGTGAAAAAAAATTAGTGACCTCCAAATAGCTCCTAATTTGCTTCAGAATGAACAGTTAATTATCTTTTTCTAAACAAGTTGGATCTTGTCAACTACAAGTAATTTTATCTCCTGGTAGGTGTCAGAAGCTTCTCTGGTTTAGAGAAGTAATCTTTAATAGAACCCCTAAATTTATAATCCTGGTTGCTGTGTTGGAATGCCTTTAGGTAGAAAGGGGATACTTCTTTTCTATCTTTTGCTCTGTCCACCCTGTTAAACTACTTGCTGTCTTAGAAGCAAGCAGTTCTTAATTCCTATGGCAGTTCCAGTTTTAATTTAAAATACAACTTTAACATAGACAGGAACATGATGTATCGCTGTTTCATGGACTCATTCACTTATTTGAGAACAGAATTATTGAGGTGAAGTTGTTCAAAATTTGACATTTACCATGTGGTACATGTTTTGTCACTCCTCAGAATTGCTGAGAAAACCTTAAGTGATGATTAAGAAACCTTTTAATCATTAAATGTCAAAGTTCAAAGTAAATTTGTTTTGACTTTTTATGTATCTTGTAGATTTTGTAAGAAAGGATAATCTGAATCCAAACTTAGATGTAAAACATTTAGGCTAGAAAAAGTTCCTCAAAAACAAGTTTTTCTAGAAGGTTTTAAAAAAGCAGAAGTTAAGTCAACCTTTGATAGAACAGTAGAAGCACCTTCTTCCTAACCACATATACACAGAAATACTTCAAGACATTAGACTACAAACTATTACTGGTCTCAAAAATCAGACGGAGAGGTGGGGGAACAAGGTTAGGAGAGAGAAAGTGATTTTAGCCACATGCTTGCAGGGTTGTAAATCATTCATGGATAGCATGAAGGGAGACTTAGTGTCAAAATATTTCATTCTCTTGGTTAGTTTGGTCTACAAGGGTCAATTAATTTGTGACTTTTTGGAATACAACTAAGATATAAAATTTCATTTTATTCAGTATTAAGTGTCTGTAATGCATTTTGCTAAGGGAAATAAAGTATTTCTCAGAATCACTGATTTTCCTCCCTCCCCCTCAAAGGGAACAGCCCTTGTCAAATATTTTTGTGACTACCTAACTGTACCTCCAGGGTCATTGCTTCCCCTGGGGCCAGTCAAAGGACACAGTGTTTTCTATCCCAGTTAGGAAGCGTGAGACAGGAATAGCAAAGAGTTTTCATGGAACTTGGGAACATTTTCTCAGGAATGGAAGCAGACCTAATAGAGAAAATAAAGACATTTGGTGGGGTTTGTTGCACAGTTAAACCATATATTAGCTATCTTAGAAGATTCAACGTATGGACTTTTAAAAGGTGAAAATAGAATCTGAATGATGTGGGAGAGGGGAAAGGGGCGTGGTTTGAAGGTGGAACTAAAAGTAACTAAAAGTTACTTTACCTGTACTAAATTATGCTAAAAGTTGTACTTGAAAGTAAATATGATGAGTTATAAAAGTTACCTCTTCAATAATTTGCTACCCCATTTGTCTTTTTTGCATATTTTTAATGTTCAGTTTTTAAATTGTTAAAATATATTAATTTCTAATGCCTTATTGTAAAATATTTAATTGTTCCTAGGTGTTAACTAATATTTGTTTTCTTTTTTCTTTTCTTCAATAGTAAAAAGCCCCTTTGATGAAACATTTGAAAAGATACAAGTAAGTAAAGATCGATAGTAACAACTGTATGTTTTAGGATAACTGTTACAAAATTTGGGGATTGAAAGGACCTCAGCAGCCAGTTCCTCTAACTCATGCTGTTGTTCTAAGGTTACTATCAGTCTACGGACTATTCTGATACGTTTATATGGAATGTTTTCATGAGAACCTGTTTCTTTTGGTTCACGAGTACCCTAAGTTCAATTAAATCACATCCAGTTACTATCAAGAAGCAGAGTAATTTTGATCCTAGGATAACTCACTATCAAATAGAAGTGATAATTTCAGATAGTTAAAATTTTCATAGTACCATACTGTGCTTCTTACCTGATGTTGGCAAGAAAGATTTGCTATTTTATATGTATATAAATATTGGTGCACATGTGCATAATTTAAAGTTTTGGTCTGAATCTAAGAAGACTAGAAATTGGCCAATATCTACTTTGATAATATTGCTCCCAACTTTTATTGTGTTAATAAACATGTAAGAATTTACAGGTTTACCAGCATTAAAATTCTTATTGTATGGCTTTGTAGTGAGTTATCATTTTTGACACAATAATTATCAGATAAATAAGAATGAGATGGACAATACAATAACTAGCTTTTGCCAGTAATTAAATAAAACTTTTACCTTTCCCTATGGTATGGGCCTCAGTTTGTTGGAAGCATGTTACCTTCCTTATTGTGGCACAAAAAATACTGATGCTGCTGACCTGGACATAATGAGTATCCTATTATCCTTCCTAGGTGTCTCTGGAAGGCCTTGGAATTGCCTTGAAGTTATAGAATCATAAGCCAACAAAATGAGGGTATAGGCTTGAGGCAAGCTCATTATCACTCGTTATTGTCTATTGTCAAGTTCATGATCACGATCTATACACTATTGTACTACTTTTTGTCTTAAACATTATTTTATAGAATCCGTGTTGGGACCTCTGAGGTTGTCTAGTCCTACTTGTACCTAAGTAGAAGTCCTTTTTATAATGTCCTATCAAGTCATTTAGCCTACGTTTGGGAGATCTTCCAGTGATGCAGGTTGGATAGCTTGGATCATTAGATTGGCTGTGAATCAAGCACAGTCTGCCTCTGCAGATTCCACTTATCACTACTAGTTTTCCCCCAGAACAGTCTAGTCCCTTTTCTACAGAAGAGGGACTTGAAGATAGTCATCATATCTCTTCCCTTAAGCTTTTTCTCCAAGCTAAAGATAAGCAGCACCTTCAGATGATCCTCACATGGCATGGTCTTGAGTCCTTTCCTCTGGGCAATAGGGATGTGAAGATAAAACAAAGAAGTTCCTATCCTCAAGGATCTTTCATCTGCTGGGTCAAGTGATAGGTACACATATAAGTAAAATGCAATATATGCACAAAATAAGTACAAGGTAATTTAATTGAGGGAGAGGATGGTAGCAGTTGAAACAGATAAAGAAAGGTCTCCTGTGTAAGGTGGCACGTGAACTGTGATGTGAAGTAAGCTAGAGATTGTAAGAGGCAGAAGCATGGGGTGGGGTGGGAGAGCAGGCTGTGCAAAGCTCAAAAAAGGGAGTTGGAATGTCATATGCAAAAATCACAAGTTTGGCTGGGCTAGAGAGTGCATGAAGGAGAATATGTAATAAGCTCGTGTCCAAGGCCCCTTTCCAAGGTATCACTTGGACCAAGTTCAATCTTAGAGGGCCTGAACCAAGAGGACTTGCTTCTGTCTGGCTCTTTGTCCCCACCTGGAGTCAATTCAGGAAAATCTCCACAATAAATCTTAGGTTTCCTCAAATGTGAGTAATAGGTCCCCAGCTTCCTCACAGGCACTTAATATAAAGCAATGGCTGTTAGGCATGAGACAATGGTTATTTCACCTACAGAAAATGCCTAAGATGCTAAGGACTCTTGGGAGTTCTTGAACAAACATAAAGCATTGAAAAGAAGCTCATTAGTTCCCCCCAGAAAGTTATTCTATTTGGGTTTATCAGGGCCACCAATTGTCATTCTGATGAGGCCCCTTTGTCTACACAGTGCTACATAGTCTCCCCAAGATTGAGAATACTATCCTGTGATTTTAGGTTTGAAGTTAAATCTACTTTGGTACTAGGGAATCTGCTGACCAAGTGAGATACTGGACATTACCCCTTTGGATTCTTAGCTTTCCTTTTCAACTTCTTGGACTTGACATTCCCCATCATATTAATGTCCTTCTTAGAATATGGTAGCCTGTTTGAACGAAACATCGTAGTTTAGATGCCTGATCAGGACAGAGGACACAGTTTGATCGCTATCTCATCTCCTTTGTTCTGGACATTTTATTTTTCTCCTTTATTCCAGTCTAAATTAACTTTTTTTCCCCTTGCTGTATTGTACTTTTGAGGCATATTAAATTGAGAGATCTTTTTCAAAGAAACTATCCAGCCATATCTCATTCCCTTCTGGTACTTGCGAAGTTGATCATTTAAACACATGTAGAACTTGACATTTCTCCATGTTACATTTTCATCTTATTAAATTCAGCTCATCATTGCAACTTGTAAGATCTTTTTGGATCCTTCTTTTCACCTGAAGTTATAGCTTTTCCTCCCAGTCTTATGTTATCTACAAGCTTAATGATCAAGCCAAATATGTTTTTATCCAAGTTATTTATAAAAGGTGTTAAGCAGGCCTGCACAACTTACAGCACTTATGGCATGCCAAAGGATTTCTTCTACATACAAAGGATTCTTTCCTCTATGTTTTTTGCAAGCGCCTGCAATCTTTTGGCGATTTTTGGCGTGCCATAAGTGACCCGAGGGCTGCAAGTTGTGCAGGCCTGGTGTTAGGTAGCAGAAAACCAAGAATAAATCCCTGGGCTACTCCAGTAGACATCTCCTTCCAAGTTTACATCCGTTAATAACCCTTTGTACCTGGATATTCAACCATTTCAGAATCCACCTGACTGCTGTTATCCAATCCATATGTCTTATTTTGTTCGTAGGGGTAGCATGAGATAATTTGTTAAATGCTTTACCAAAATCTAGATAGATTCTACAGCATTCACCCCATCTACTAGTCTAATAATTCCCTCAGAAAAGGAATTAGGTTGTCTTGCACAACCTTGTCCTTCATGAAGATCATCTTTGTGATAACTTTCTTTTTTAAATGCTCATATACCATCCCAGTTACCTCCACCACACACACATTTGGTCTGGACCTGTGATTTCATCATCAGGGACTCTCAGTATTAAACTCAACTACCCATGCTGATCTATAACTTATCTATGTGTTATATATATGTTCTTAGAAAATTGCCTTGGACACTGAAAGGTAAAGTGAGTTGCTCAGGATCACACAGCGTGTATGTGTCAGAAGTAGGAATTAATTGTAGGTCTTCTAACACTTAACCTGACCCTCTGTATATCTTGCATATGTAACAGCATACCTTACTGCCTTTCATGGCCTTTATATGCATTCTGAAATTTTTCTTGGAGTGAAAGACAAGATCATCATTACCATATTCTCCCTCCACCCACTTTCCTTTTTGAAAATCTAGGTGACATTTGTCTTTTTCTAATTCTTTAGCACCTCTCTCATTCCTCATGACCTTTTGAAATCTGTGCATTCTTTCGCCATTTTGGGATATAATTTGGCCTGGCCTTGTGATTGAACTCATTGAGGGCAACCAGCTGTTCTCTTAATGCATTTTCACTTAACTTGGGTTTCATCTTACTGTTTAACCATTTTTGTTTTGTGCTTCACAATTTTTCATGCTTGTCTGAGTGTGGATATCACCTATCCTATAAATAATTGAGCAAAGCCTTTATATGGTTTCTCTCTCTTCTTGTCTCTTCTCTTTATTCAAATATGCAAATGTATGTATAAGGAGGATGAGGATAAGCTGAGTGCAGAATCTGACCTGCAAAGAATTATGAATTTAGGAGAACAGTAGAGAAATAATATAAAGGATTTAGGAATAAGCAGAGTATTGGATGGCATAAAGAACTACAGGGAATGAGGCAGTTGGATCTCTTTTACTAGCAGAATAAATGACCTTAGAGCCTAATGATGACTTTTGTTTGGAAAGGGAAAAGTTCAGTTACTTCTAGGCATGAGGAAAATAGGAGAGGATAGGTGAAGATAGAATTTTTATGGTAGAAGGCTGGCACTTGGATGGCTGTTTGTTGGGTAAAACTGGAGATGAAGTAGATGATTAGTAAATAGGTTTGGAAGAGTCACTGGGGAAATGACAGGTAATGTGTTAGGTAAATAGATTGCCAAGCAAAGTTGAGAGCTCAGCTGAGGTTAGTCTGAATTTGTAGTGGTCTTCAGCTGGTTGTGTCTTTCTAAAAGACTCCTGATGAAGCTCGATTTCTACTTCTTAGCAGAGGTGTGATGGGCTGGAAGTGCAGGAGACATACATTTTCAGATCCAGTATTGTGTCTTTGTGTTGATTGTTACAAGGTAAGGCTTCTGTTTGTGGGGAGGAAGAGTTGGTAGGGATATTATTGGTTTAAAAAAAAAGAAAAGAAAAAACATGACAATGAAACATTTAAAAACTTCACAAAAGAGAGCAGAATGAAGTTCAGAATGGTCTTAAAAAAACTACAGATTAGAAATGCAGTTCCATATACAATCCTTTTTTTTGGTTCTTTATGTATTGAAATACTCATGTTTGTTGCTATTTCAGTTCATAATAAAAAGAAAAATAGCCTAGTCAGTATGAAACCCTATTTATAGAGGCCTATTCAAAAAGAAGTTGCAGGTACCAAGATTCATAACTAGGCCGCTGGCATGGAAATATCACTAAAATATACTGGATTCTTAATGCCAAGAAATAGTGCCTTGTTGGTAGTAAACATTTAATAAATATTTTAACTGAACCAGCCTTAACTCTACCTGTGAAAGGAAATAAGACTCTAGACTTGCCTGGAATCATCAGAAAGGTAATAAGGGAGTTATTGATCATGTGTTTAAAGTTTCTGGAGGCAGTGTGGCATACTAGATGATTACTGAATATGGAGTCAGAGGACCTCGATT